TAGTTAAGCCGACTGAACATGTAAATACTCATGCACTTAGAGAAACTTAGATTCCTCGAAACAACGGAATGATACGTGAAATGATTAATATCACCGCTATTGATGTCTCCGTATTCATTCCTCCGTAAATTTTAACGATATCTTGGCTTAGTAACCCCGCTAATGACACCGTTTTTTCTTGAAAATAAATGATAACGAATCACTCCACTCTTATTCAGTACATATTTGTTATCTTAATAAAGACTGATTGGTCCACCATTGGAAATACCTAATTTAAAAAAAAAAACACGTGCACCCACCTATGATAAGCACAAGCAACTACCACCTGTGATAACCATACAACAACAGACGACGATCATACAAACACAAAATAGCCCCTCCGTACCCGAGTATATACAGGTATATATATATATATAAACAGTTTGTCACAGCCCCTCGTTTGTTGTCCTCCTCTCTTCTCTCTCTGCCTACGATTTACCGAGCAGTTCTGTTTGTGACGAGATATATACGTATATATATACTCTGCTTATGACAATATATATATATATATATATATATATATATATATATTTGAGAGGCGGGGTAGTGCTTGTATATGGGAATCGTCATCCGGGATTGTCTTCCTTTATTTTCTTGGTTGTCACACTGTGGATCGTCGCTTTTTTATGCCTTATCCTGGGTAGTCTTGTCCCGCTGTTTGGCCTTTGACGGAGTGGGCGGTGCTTGCATATGGGACTTGTCATCTGGGATCTGTTTTATTTGTTTCATTTGACTGTTCTCTTCCCCTTCTTTGCCTCTTTGCATTTTTGTTGTGTGCAAGTTGGTCGATATGGCACACAGGGGTGGGGGCATCCATGTGGGCGGCCTTGTACGCAAAAGGTTCTGAACGAGGGGAGTGGTAAGGAAGAAGATTAAAAACGAAATTAATTTTATTTATTAATTTATTTTATTTGATTTTTCTCTGTTTTTTTCGCGTAGGCGCTCTAATATCAGGTGACAATATATATATATATATATATATATATATATATATATATATATATATATATATATATATATATATATATATATATATATATATATATTTATATACTCCGACGAAATGGTTTGTCACAGCCCCTCGTTTGTTGTCCTCCTCTCTTCTCTCTCTCTGCCTACGGTAAAGATGAGTCGGTGAAACTCCGACGACCAGTTTGTCACAGCCCCTCGTTTATTGTCCTCTTCTCTCTATCTACCTACGGTTTACCGGGCAGTTCTGTTTGTGACGATATATATATACATATATAAATGTAATATTGATTAAAAAATAACACTATACAACCCCCCCCCCCAAAAAAAACGGCAAAAGTAATATATAAATATAAATTAATAAAACAATAGAAGTAAAAATAAAAAATAAAATAACCTCCTTACCGCATAATCCACATATATATATATATATATATATTATTCACAACAACTTACAAATTAAGTCCAAAAAATGATAAAAGCATAAAAAGTAATAGTAAATTTAAAAAAAACGCTAATAAAAACTATTTCCTCTTTATATATCTACAAAAAATAATAATAATAATAAAATAATTATTAAAAAATAAAAAATAAATATTAAAGACAACACTATACAAATCAACCCCAAAAGTAAAAATGATAAGAACACAAACGTATTCCGCCCCCCTTTTTTTATATATTCATAAAATAATAGGCTACCAGCCAGGCCGCCCGGGTCATTCTATTCGCACTGGGCATGGTTCTCGGGATTGGTCACAGTCACAATTGGTGCCACTGGGGCACCAGAACTTTCGTTTAGAGCCTTCTTCTTGTAGAACAATAGCGAGATACAGTTTGCTTACCCTGTTTATTTCGTTTGCTTTCTGCACAGTCTCTGATTACTTAATCACTGTTGTGCCATTGTGTGGACACAGATGTATATAATGAGGGTGATGTAGTTGCTTCTTTGGTTCCTCGCTGTACACAGATCAATAGGTTGTTTTCTCTGTTCGCTCTGTTTACCTTTTCAATGACTTTTTTAAATTAGTTGCTTTGTTGGTTGCTTTGTTGACTGTATACGTATTGAGTGTTACTGTTTAGTTACTGTTTAGCTGCTTTTGGTTTACATTACCTGGTTAGTCTAGAGGGTGGCGTTCTGAATAGAGGTGTTTCCACAGCCCGGACTTGCACCAGGCCGGAGTAGCAGGGGGCATGCCTTGGGCTGTTCAAATCTTGTGTGGGACGCCGGGCCCGAGTCCCGAAAAAATAAAAAAATAAAAAAATAAAAAATAAAAAATAAAAAAATAAAAAATAAAAAATAAAAAAATAAAAAATAAAAAATAAAAAATAAAAAATAAAAAATAAAAAAATAAAAAAATAAAAAGAGAACTATGGTGATGTAGGAATATCAGATATACATTCTACTATTGAGTTCTTAATTCTAAGATGAGTTAGGAACATAAGGTTGTATTCGTACATTTCTTTTGCTATATGAGCCTGGCTAGTGATGCCTCACCCATAATCAGGAGTCGCCTGCATATATGTAAAGCACGCTGGGACCGTTTCCTGGCTTATATAATACAAAAAAAGTACAAGTTAGTGTAAAAAGCATATAGATTTATTCAGCCTCCTAATTAGTCGGTGAAACTCTTACGAAACAGCTTGTCACAGCCCCGCTTTTGTTGCCCGCTTCTCTCTCTGCCTACGGTTTACCGGGCAGTTCTGTTTGTGACGATATATATATATATATATATATACAAAACCCAAAGAAACTAAACGTCGCAAAAGTTAAGTGTCCATCCCTCCAAACTACCCGAGTCTCTTAAGATACCACAATGCCCAGAGGCTTCTCCCCCTCAGCATTACCTCTCCAGATCCCAGCGGTTTAGAGTAGCGCAATCATTAATTGATCTTGTGAGCATATGCCTGGGTCGACCTGACTGAGCAATAAACCATGTAGGTAACAAGAGAAGGATTATGCCGTATGTGTAGTAATGGCTATGCAATAGGAGACAAGGAATGACGACGACCCCGACATTTACTTATGTTGTACCTTGTTCAGAACAACCTGTTGAATAACTGCTTCTACTTTCCGGAGCTGCACCCAGCCAAAATAGCAGAAAGCAAGCACGGGATTGTTATAGTTCGGAGAAAAATGCCTAACCTGCCTTCCGATCCTACACATTGTGTTCACAAAAGTAAAAATACTCACCAAAAACCATTGCGAATAACACATCAAGAATAAAACTAAATACATTCAGTATCACCACCATCCCTCTGATGCTAGACTACAATATGAACACAAATCACATTTGCGGAGTCCAACTTGCAAATGCAAGAAAAACAGTTTCCACACAGTTAATGACTGTGAAATCGAACCCAACGATTTGCCCCATTAAAAGACAACATTTGTGCTTCCTTCTAAGCTCCCCCTCCCCCACCCCTTCCCCCTCCATCCACAGTATAATAAAACTAGCAACACTTCAGGTCCTGACGTTACCTTCCGACACCTTAGATCATATAAGTAGTAATATACTGATCCTATAACAATTGTCTTCATAAACTGACTATCGGACTGTCTTAAAACGTCATGCAGGATGAAGACAGTATTCAAATGGGATGGCACCCGGAGCTGGCCTCCTCCATCAGACCATTCTCAGCGCTCAAGCCTCCTAATGTACACTGTCAAATCGCAATGCTGGCCATACCTGCTGATGTGCTTCTGCAAGTCCATGAAGCAAGGAGCGGCCAGGCTCCATTCCTAGTCGAGAACCTCTCGTTCAACGACTGGGCCTCTCTCGTCTGCGTCATGCAGACAAAACCACAAGAGCTAGATAACAAAATCCAAGAATTTGCAAGAATTATACCAGAAGTCTGCAGGAAGTTAGCCATCAAAAACAGAGAGCTAAGCCTGATCATCGCCAAAACCGAAAAGGTCATTCTCGACCTCCACGGTTACGACTCCTCGCACCTCGATGTGGCCGGATGAGTCTCAATTGCAGAAAGTAGTGAGACTTTCTCCGACTCATACATTAGCAGGATTTCGCTAACTCCTGTGGAGCTAGAGTATTTCAAGAAAAGGGAAGCGCAGAGACGGGACAACGCACACACCGAAGTCTCCACTGCCGCCAGTGATGCTAGCCACAAATTCGCCAAGAACAGCTCTTTCCTGTCGCTTGCATCCAGCTCCTGGACTGAGAAAGTTGTACAACGCGTCCATAACTGCTTATGGAAGCTCAACACCTTCAACTATGCTGCAGCAATCAGTGTGGAGGCTTATATGGCGCTCGCCGGCCTCAGCACCGCAGATATCGACAACTGTCGCACCGCTGCCAGGAACGGAACCATACACTTCCCAGCAGGGAGAGTTGGCTTTAGTGCCGACTTCCTACCAATCTCTAAAATGGAGAAAGGAAAGTGCCCCAAGAAGCCGCTGCTGCATCAAAAGGGTATCCCCAAGTTCCCAGTCGACCTGGCCGAGCTCAAGAAACTGTGGAATGTTGGGAGACCCTTCCTGAAGTGTGACTGTCTAAGCTGCGAAAAAAGCTTCACATGGTTCGATCACATGCTCTGGTATGTGATCGGAAACCTGGACAGGCTGGACCCGCACGCCCCGTCGGACAAGATTAGGATGCTGGAGTTCTAGGCGCTGCTGCGGACATCCTGGAAGAAAGCCATCCTTGCGCAAGTTACCTTCGTCTTCATGAGAGAGTACATGATGAAGATCGTACATCTCATCGGGCAAAACCTGAGGATAACTGCAGAAGAAATCCTTGGGTTCGAGGACTTCAGGGAAGTTTCCTTCGTGCACAAGTTCACTGTTGCTCTGCTTCCCAACGCTGAAGGCCTCCTCGCCCAAGTAGCAAGCGGTCAACGCCAACGCTCTGACGAGGCTGACAATTCGCTCCTGAGATGCTGGCAGATGAGATTAGGATCTTCCCCTACTGCCACCGTTCCACTTACAACACCATCACCGAATCCCCCAACTGCTACCACAAACCGTACCCACACACCTGCACCTATCTCCTCTGTCATTCCAAGCACGACGCCCTCCCGCGCTTCCACTGGCCTCACTTCCACAACACCACTGCAAGGAAACGACGCACAACTGCAATGACACTACAGTGCTAACATAGGAGGCACTCCCCCAACCAACACAACACGCATTCCCACAACGAGCACAATGCCTCACCTTTATCACCCCGCAAGTCACAACCTCGCCTACCCGCAAGCAACAGCTAGCATCACTGCACCACCAAGCACACACAGGAACACAGCCCACCTGCCCAACATGGCCGGGTGGCCCGGCATAGGCATGCCAACACCTCACGCAATACACAACATCTCCATTACTGCCACAATTCCCTCAACGACACGACCACCCCTACCCACAAACACCGATCCCACGTTCGCCAACAGAACCGCACAACCGGTCCTCACCACATTCTTTACCCTGTGCGGCAATGGCAGCAGTACACTGGCAAATGGCCAGACATCCACGACTGTCAATGCAGCCACCGTGACAGGTCCCCTCACAAACCCTGCTACTGCACATGGCACTACACCCACTGATGCAGAAAGGCAAGCACGCAGATGGGAACAACTCCTCAGTATCGCCATGACACCACTACCTATACCACACAGAAAAAACCTCAGAAGGGGTAACAAGACGCAGAAGAACCTGGCACAGGTGGGGAACAAGCAAGCTGGAAGGCAGTCAAGGAGGAAACGTCCCCAACACGATCAGAGGCAGCCAAACATACAAGACATCCTAGAGGCGCAGCAGCAATGACAGAACATTTTTGCAACACAACAGGTGTAGCATGGCATTGCACAAGAACAGCATGTACTAATTGAGCGCAGACCACACCCTGGTGCAGCAAACCCCCTCCTCGGGAACGCCACCCAGATTGTCCCACATACGTGGGCACCATCTGCTACGCTACTCCTCAATCAATGGATTGCTGCCGCAGCAATCCATGCTCCCGCGCCACCACAAGTTGTGCCGGACAACCAGGAAGTCATCCAGGTCAGCAACAACAAAATCATTCGGGGGTGAAAGGATGCAGTTTCCAATTACTGTCAGCTCGCCATCTCCGAGTACTCCAATGAGACCTGTCTCCGCAATAGACGTTCTACGAACGAACTATGGGGCCAGTAGTGCGGACTCGTCCCTCCTGAGAACGACCAGCGACCAGACCACAGTAGACACTGAATCGCAGAGCTCTGGTGAAACCTAGAAACGGGTTTGCAGACGATTTAGCCCAGAATACCAGTACGGCACCTCTAGCATTGCTAAGAGCTAGACTCTTTAGGGCAACATTACTAAAGAGTAACCCCAACAGAAGACCCTATGTGGATAACAACAAAAAATAGGAAGGGCACTGCGACCATATACTGCGTTCCTAACGGAGTTCTGATAGGAAGCTTGACATAGCATAGATACTATTACCTGCCTAAAGATTAGATTACGATGTGATTACCATTAGTCGACAGACTATTGAATAAAACTATAATAAGGAATGCTCTGCTATTCCCACCAAAGGACGTAGACTATCCAAGCGATAGGAATTGCAAAGCAATTTTTTTGTAACATTAGTTGCTGTTGATAATAGGTGTAAAGTACGTTTTCTTGACAGGGGATGCTAAAATAAAATAAGAAACAAGATATCTTGATAAATGCTCCGCTTCAATAAATCCTGTCTTCCACAAGGTTCCATCTCATTGGTGTTCTACAGCAGGCTACCAGAAAAAAACCTCCCAACCCTCACTGCTCTACCCACACACACACCCCTCATACTCGATCCCCCCGCAAAAACCCAAAAACTGCTTCTTGTTGACTCAACCAAACTAGGCTCTCTCTCTCTCTCTCTCTCTCTCTCTCTCTCTCTCTCTCTCTCTCTCTCT